CAAGAGTCAAGGAGTAGAGTGCTGCTATTATATGGTAGCTGTGAAAAAGCTGTGCCTCGTACACTCAGGCGCTTTGCTGGTATGGATATGGAAATCTATCATTAGAGAGGGACGGGTGTTCAGGAGTGAGACTCTCTAATTGAATCAATACATTCTTGACACTGAATGTCATCCTGCTGCTCAAGTCCAAATACCTCTGCCCAGCTCAGAACTGCATGGTCAAAAATTGGTACTGCCGTCTGCTTCATTGTCTCTCTGCTTTAGAGATTAGCCAGGACCTGGCAAAAAGGTTGAGACAGATTAGATTTTATTCTCTAGTTTCTTTAATTTTCTGATTTCTTTTTAATGTACTGCTTTTCATTCAAGCAAAATGTAATTACAGTAAGTGATTTAAGAGCTGTGTGCGAGAGTACAGTATATCGTTCAAACTGCACTAAGAAATGTACATAGGAACGTTTCAAGCCACAAAAAGAATAATTACAAATAAATACCAATAATAATGAGTTAAATGTGTAAACCCATCATTAAAGATATGTTTTAGATATACAATGCTGTGAAAAAGTGCATAAACAGTATCCTGGTAGAACCGTGCTTTTGTGTGACATTAAAATCATTATATGAAGGCTTCCCGCTGTTCCACGAGTCTAAAAATATGCACATGTAGTTTTTCTTATGTTCACTGCTTCTAGTATTTAACTAGCACTGCTTACCATGTTCAACTTTGTTTACATATTAAAACCTGAGACTAAGTGAACATATTAGAGGGTATCCCAATATGGTCACATTTGGTGAGTATGGCTTGATCATTTTTTCTTGGTAAAATATATCTTTAAGCTTTTCAAAGTATTATTTGGTTGCAGGGAGACTGCCTGTAGCCCCAAAGATATTTTATTCCTAAGGTTAAATTAAAGTAGTAACTTTCTTATTGATGTCAATACTGACGTACTGTAAATAGAAGAAAAATATTTTTTGTTCTGTTTGTGTTTCCTTTTGCTAGATTTTAATTTAGCATGAACATTGATGCTTAGAACTTAAAAGTTTTGCTTCAAGTTTTGTTCTGACTGCTGAAGATGCTGCTGTTCATTTTCCTTGTTCTTATTTCTATCATCTGTGGTTCCACAGATTCCCAATACTGTCAGTGACAGCTCTGGCAGGGTTAGCCATTCTTTTTTCCTTTCTCCTACTATTATGTCCTCAAACTCAGTAACTAGAAAAAGCATGATGGGTGTAAAGTAAGATATACTAATTTTCAGGGCAATATAGGTACTGTTCAGTATATTGACTTTGTTCCTGGACCTTCAAAATAGTAAATAAAAAATGGCAACTAAAGCTTCAGTTTTGGGCAGCCCTCTTTCAAGCTGCTGTGAAGCATTCCTAATCATGCTAATGTATTGAGCTGCCATCATGGAACTGTATACAGTACTCCTCTCTCTTGTATTCCACTGTTAGGTCAACCTTTTTGAGAGCTTTCTCAAGTCCAATTATTTGTCCTATTACAGTTTACACCTTTTTTGTGAACATTTGTGGTACCTTTTATAACACAGTGCTAAATTCAGTAATGTATCTAACTTAAAAGAGCCGAGAAGGTGTGTTTTGCTTCAAATAAGTGTTTTCTAGAGATACCCTTTTTTCTTGACAATTTTGTTTCTTCCATCTCCAAGCTTACTCTCAAAACGGGTCCCGTCAATATTGATCTGAGAAAAAAACAACAACATTGTGAAATCTGAATTAAATTTATAGCTTCAGAAAAATAAAAAAAACATTTGACATTAAATATAATTAAAGTAGATGTCTTTATCTAAGATTTGTAGCTCTTTATCTATTTCTGCTTTCAGTCACAGCTATTAAAAGTACCAGGTTTTAAAGCAGATGAATAATGCTGAATGCATCCCTTAGACTATGTCTTCTATTTGTCTGATGTGCTTAGCTATTGCAATTTTAACCACAGTTTTTTTTTTTAAATTAGTAGTCTTCTTAAAAATTTTTCATAAATCCATTTTAACTTAGTGGACCTACTTGCATTTCTCACAGAGGAGGATGTGAGACATGATTCGTGTACAGAAAAAAAAAATTAAAAAGACATCTTACAAAGGTAATCAATGCTTGCAACTAGAAGATACAAAGGAGGTGATTTCATGATATGTTAGGAAAAAAACACCTTCCTTCATAATCCTTATTTTGCACATTACCAGATATAAAATATTTTTCAAGAAAGATTGAAAAAACATTAAATAAAGGATCTAAATGCTGCATCTACAGTAACAGTAATCTGTCAGAATTATTCTAATTTTTCACAACTTAAATCAATGCTCATTTCATAACACTTATTTAGCAAATGTCCCTTTCACGGCACAGACCCTGTGGTTTTCAGAAATAATACCTAATGGCAAATACAGTATGTGCACATTTGTATGGTGAAAATGACTCTTTTTATAATTGGTTATAAGATGTACATCATGGCATTCCATTATATTTTCTGATGAGATGCAGAAGAAATGTATAATATAGCAAGAAACATATATAAACATGTGGGTATATTTATGTGCTAAGTGCAATATGATATGTACATAAGTTTGGTGTTGTTTAATGTTTCTGTAAAGAGTTGGTTGAGCTGAAGGTAGCCTGGTTCTGTGTGGTATTATTGATGTTTTCTTCATATTGTGTAAAGATTGTGTCAAAGCATTAAAAGATTATTTTTGGTGCATATACAGTACTGTACACAAGTATGAAATTTAAACTATATGGACTTATTTATGTAAACGTATAGAAGCAAAATTAAGTAGATGTATTGCAGAAAACTGAACAGTGTTGAAATGTAGATTGGGAACCCACAATGATTCATTGTGCATGAAATCCATAAAGACAATTACAGCTCCGATGGCACTACTGTCCTGCTGAATTCATTGTAGTGGTCTAGAGAACAGTGAAAACACTTTAGTACTGTAAGTGTATACTCAAACTTATCCTTCCCTTTCTCCTCACATCTCTTTATTTCAAAATTATAGTTTTAGTTATGGCATTTATTTACTTGACCATATTTTACACAATCTCTGATAAATATTAATTAAATATCAATTACATTTAATTTGACAAGTTTAGGAATTCAGATGAATATACTGTAGTAATAGTAATATGTTATTATTCATTATTTTTTTACACCAAGCTACTTTTGTAATTAAACAGAGATGATATTATTTTTTGTATTTATTTCTTATTGTGAACATTATGGTTTATGTCTAACTATGGCTCACATCTGCCCTGTTTGAAATGAACTGCAGCTTTAGAGGGTAAAAATGCATCTTTAAAATCTGATTCACAACACAGACATCTGCATTCCTAAGAACACAAGACAGAGTGTGTGTTAAATACAAGTAATCAAATAATATGCAGTTACAGACAGATTCATAATTATTAACAACAACAGTATTTATTATTATTAAATTGTTTAACTTCAGCACTCAAACCCCTTTTCTTTTTTTGTTTTGCCAGCTCAAAATGCCTGTAGTCTTTTGTTTATCTGCAAATTCAGCATGGGGTGTAGCTATAAATTCTTACTAGCAATTAATTTCAGAAGCAAAATTATAGCCCTTAGAAATTAGCTGAACTGTTGGAGATTGTGTTTTTGAATCACAGTGTTTGAATTGCCCAATAGTATATCCTAATGGCAGTTAAGGATGCATGAGAATTCATTTTATGTTTAGGAATTCAAAATAAAGGTAGGAGATGGGACATGTAGGTTATTGCAAAAAGCGAAATATCTTTACTTGTTCCAGGAGGATGGGATTCAAATCCCTTGTAGTATAAAGATAAAATGTAGAGACAATTTCCCATTCGGACACGGTTGTGAGATACAATAGTTAGCAGACTGGTGTAGCTCCTGAATTTTCTGATCAGTAGGGAATAGAAGTCCTCTGAGAAAGCAGCAATATATTCCCTGCTGGTTGTGGAAATTCAGCGGTTGTCTGAGACAAAAAATATCAAGAGAGCACAGAAAATATGTGCAGGAAGGGTTTAATAACAAAGAACGAGGTCTGACTTAGTTTTATTTTGTTAAGGTTTTTTTTCTATGTATAATTCCTATTGTTTTGTTTTAGGAAACAGAGCAAATATGAACCCCTGATAACAGTTACTTGGTTGTGTTAGTCAGAGGTTCTTTGGTTTTAATTCTAATACCAAAAGACAAACTGGCTTGAGTTTGACTTTGTTGTACAGCTTGGGTAAGTTAATTAGCTTCTTCGCTTAAACCTAGAAGCCAGCATTCATTGGCATTAAATTAGTTTTACCAATTTACTGTCTTCCATGTTGTGAATGCCTTAATTAAACTTTACAGTGGACGGTTACATTGCTTTAATTAAGTCGTTTTTTTCCCTTTTTTTACTGCTAACTGGTCCTATTTTGTATTTCAATCAAAAGTCAGTCTAATCTGGAAATTTAACTGAGGCCTTAAAACCCATAGTTTTTTTTTCAACAGATTATGTGGCCACAAAGCTCTGATACAAAAGTTGTTTTTTAGTGCTCATAGCCCCCTACACCACAACTGGTAATTAGCAAGAGTTTATATTTTTTTCTTTCCTTATCAATGTTGATATGTTTGTATTTATTCATGTATATTAAACACGTGCACACTCAGACATACACAAATGATGTTCATCATGCATCATATTTCTCATTCACAATGGTTTGTGTTTGTCAAAGTCTGAAAGGTTTAATCTCTAAGCTTGACACCTTGAACTGATAAGCATTGTCTTAAAAAAGAGAATGTGCTGGTTCTTTAAAGCCCCCCTTTCTTTCTCTCACCCTGTTCCATCTCTCTGTCTTGTCTCTCTCTCTCAGGCACACTCTCTCTCTTTGTCTCTCTCCACCCACTCCACCTGCTCAGTTCCCCTCAGTATGTGCAGGCAGTGCCCTGTCCAGTTCCAATTGGCTAGGAAGCCACCAATCTGGCGTCTGGATGGGCCAGAGGGACTACATATGCAAAGCTTTACTTCATATTAATGAGCTCCAATCGTGGCTTTAAGTCCTTGATTAGAAGAGTGCGAGAGCTTTTGGTCCCAACTGGCTGTGCCTATAGGCTTGTCACCAGGAGAACATTTCTGTTAATTGCACTGCTCTGTCAGGAAAAACTTTGATTTATAGAGGGGGTTTGCTCAAATTATGGTTGCAGAGCGCACATGGATTCGGTAGAACTTTGCCTGCCAGAGTGTTTTTCCCTGCACTCCGAAGAAGAGTAGGTACATTTTGATTTTTATTCTTCTCTTTGGAAATTATGCCTAATGTTTTACCTATAGACAGTTTTGTTTGTCTTAAATTCTTGCTGTTGCATGTGTACTTTTGTTTTCTGTGTTGTGTTGTGAGCTATATCTGTCTGTCTTGTGTTGTTGACTGACAATGTGCTTCCCTGTAGTGTGTACTTACTGCTCAATACATAGCACAGCTACCTGTCAGGCAAAGTACTGAAACAGTAGCATTGCCTTGTACCTCTGGAAGAAAAAGTGAGCACATTCTTTTTACCATTTAAACCTCACAGATTTCTATAAAAGGCAAATATTTTTTCAACTTAATTTATACTCTGTGTTTTATCTGTTATTAATTTTTATTGATACCATGTCCTTGAGATTTTTTAAAAGAGAGAGCACTTAGAAAAAAAGGTATACTCCAATACCATAAAAAGCTTGAATTTCACAGACAAGCTGCTTACAGTGTGGCCTGGTTCAGCTATTAACAGTGCCACATATTTACATTATTGAGAGCTATGGGGTTATGGTGTATGTTGGTGGGGGGCAGGGGGGGGGGGGGGGGCAGGTGCTGAATCGAGCCTGCATAGTTCATATAGAGAAACTAGGTTTTCCAAAGTAAATGTATTTTGTTTTTGTCAGATTGATACAATTTCAATTTTAATTACTTGTTTGATGCTTATTTTGTGTTTAATGGAAAAAAATCATAAACTTTGCATTTACTTGTATACATTTTTTATCATAGGTGTCAGCCACTTGTAATTGTTTTCATTCAACAGCTGTATTTGCAGCATTAAGTGAATTGAAATAATAATCGCGTTTGTGCTCAAAGAATTGACAAATAAACAACAAACAGCTAATATGGATAAGTCTGACTGACACTGCTGGGTGTGCTTGCAATTGCCTAGATGTTTGCAAACTGTCATGGGTTCATATAAACCTGATATCTTAAAAACACACACTGGAAACATAACATTGGTCTCTCTTTAAGAAAAGAAACACCAAGACTATTAACCCCTGCCCTTAGTTACATTAAAACACCGATAAGACCATAAAAGTATTGTTCCACCCTTAGTCCATTTAGAGATTAGAAAGAAATAAAGTGTGCCGGAACTGCTGTGTTACAGGTATGCTGCCATAAAGTCCTACCAGCTTTATCCCAGTCTTTTAGACAGTTAGATTAAGGCAATTAACATTAGATATTGAGGTGCACTTGAAGCACTTTCAGAACTGTAAAATAAACACTAGCTTTAATGTGTAACTTTCAAAAATGTGATTGTATTCATTACTACATTATTCTAGCTTCTCAGTAGAATAATTGTCCTCTGTCTGACTTCTCATTCTTTAGGTCTTTAGGAATTAAAATGCTACATCTATGGATACACTTAAGATAACACCAGCATTGAAAAATAAATATGCATTTATAGAAAATGCATTGATTAATCTAATAAGTTCTGTTTTCCCATTTTCTTTTTTATTATTAAGCTCTTTTTCTGATTTTACCTTCTTATGGCTAATTTACATGTTTGGTCTTCATAAGCTTCTTGATGTATATGCTTTTATATTGAATTTGTACCTATACCTTTTTTATGATCTAAGATTTAATGTCTTCTCACTACTTCTTATTTTTGAAGTAAATCAATGTATAATAATATAGTAATGTATAATAATTAGTGTTAAGTTCAATAATATATGGATATATTGGGATACATTGATATATGATATATACATTGAATAATAATGTAATTATTGCACTTCTTTCCTGAGATTTGTTTTTTTATGAAACTTTTATTGTTCACCACTTTATTCAGATTAGCACAAACATAAGAATTAACGTAGAATGGGGTTCATATGTGGAAAGCCATCCTGTATTTATGTACAAGTGTAAATTCATTTTTTAAGGTTGAGGTTTTCCATTTCAATAATTATATAAATAATTATGCAGACTTAATTTCTGTAATTTAGAACAAATGTGAGATAACATTAAAATGCACATTTTTGCTAAAATTTTACATTTTGTCACCAAGTTCAAATGATTTCAACAATGATTGCTACATTTACTGTAAAATGTCGATTTATTTTAATATTAATTCTTAGTTTGCAATATTTATGATAAGATTATAATTACTGTTTTTGTTTAAATGCATGGAATATATAGAAACATTAAATCTAAATATAGCCTTTACAAAATTGAATTGCTGTACAAAAAATATATATAACGTATGGTGGAAATAGCAGCAGTGTATTTTAGGGTTGTTATATTACTTTAAAATCATGTAAGTAACATGATAAATCCTTATTAATTGTTTTTTTTTTCATATTTTGTAAATTTTCTACAATATTATAAAATTTACCTACAACGTTTATTTCAAACAAAAATATCATTTGAAAGCATAAACATGTGGAGTCTGTCTGTCCAATCCAGAATATACTATTTAATTTAAAAATGCAGTGGAAAGAAGAAAAAATAGCTAAATAAAGGTAGAACAAACCTATTCCTCATTGTTATGTTATAATCAATTATATAATCCAAATAGATAGCATCTATGTTTTGTTAGCGTATTGAAACACTTGGTGCTGTTTGAAAAAGATTCATCATTTTCAGCCACACAGATAATTCCCCTCTAATAATTAAACATTATTTCTCGTGTCATGCCTCTGTAGCTCAGGAAAGGTCTTGATAGCCTTTCACTTAAACTTTTCCTGAAAAGAAAGTATGCATTTATTTTTTCCTTTGCTGGAGAGTGAGAATTAGCAAGTAAAGCATAATCGTCTGATTCAGTTCCTTCACTGCTAATAAAATCATTTGTTTAATAATAGTAATACCTCTTAAATTATGTTAAAATTAATCTACCTCATTTATAATGTTAAAATCAGTCTTCTCACACTTGCTGTCTTACGGTGCGTATACCTTAAATACTGTATTTTGACCGATGCATTTCCCCGTTGTAAAATGTCTAGCTCACTGCCTTCATCAGACTGCTGTCTGACTGTTCATTGTCTTTATTGCGTCCTGCTTATTTGAATGTGTGTTGCCACTTCCCCTTATTCCAAGGAGTCTGGAGCATTCCAAGGGTAATTAACCAGAGTTAAAAGCAAAAACCCTTGTGAGTAGCCAGTCATCCTGGTGGTAGGCTGTATTTTTCTCCTTTTGTTTAGGAGGTGCAATAACTACACTCCCCCCAACCGCTTTAAAAAAAATGACCTGGCTGTCAGTGTAAAAGATTTATATTTAATCTATTACCATTGGGTATTCACACATATATCTGATTTTAGGACAACTTTTTAAAAAAACAGTACAAAATAAATTGCCCAGATGAGATGTCTGTGCCATAAATGAAGGAGCACATGCAGTAATTATGCCGTACCATATTGGAGTGGTGACAGAATTGGTACATGTGAAAGGGAGACTTGCTACTGTTTTATTCCTCACCTTTAAGTGAAATAAGATCTGCTTTCACTTTCTAACCTGCACTTCCTCCTCTATTGTTCAGAATTAAAGGAATGTTGTCTGTTTAAGGACAGTTCCTTTGGAATGTCAGAATAGTTAGGAAAACAAGTTGCAAGTAAGGAAAGTACAAATTAGGTTTTTAGTTACTGGAATAATTAGTAAATCACTTCAGTAAATTACATTCATATATATAACTCCAATGCAAGTACAGCTTGTTATACTATTAAGCCTTCTGTAGATACTACTAAGATTTAGTTTAGTTTTTTCTTTATTACATATATAAAAAACAGTGCAATATATAAGTACACTAATTTATTTGAACTGTTATTGGCATATTTTGGGGCTGCTCTCATACATAAAGTGGACTTGGCTTTTCTGGGAGTAATGTAGCACATTTTTCAAAACAAATTGGAGTAAAAGTACCAGATTGTATTCTGAAGCAGCAGTTAAAAGTTCAAATCTGTTTTGAATAACAAATTTAGAGGGTAACGTATTTACATTTCAGAAGTCTAAATTCTGCAGCTCTGGATTTGAGTGAGCAGGTTTATTCCATCTAGCATTCGGGGTTTAGCATTGTGCCTAACTTTCACTTGGGGACATGCAGGCAGCCGGCAACAATAAAATGTTGATTTCCTCTGAAGAGATCCCGTGTGAGGGAATGTGTGTTTGTGTGTGCGCCTGTGTGCCAGGGAGTTAAAGCTCTCCAGAGGAAATGTGTGATTACGCGAAGCTAAGTTTGTGCCGTTTTTATCTCTTTTACATCCACTGGCCTTGTATTAAATTGTCATTGTCCTGAAGCAGAGGGGAGAAATGAATTGCAGCTCTCGACGCCGAGTGACAGTGAAAAATTTAGCCTCTCTGTACCCAATCATACTTCATGTGTGCGTTTGATAGTGCGGGAATGACACAGGCACTCTCTCTGTGGCTTGACATTCTTCCCACTTGCATTCTTTCATGCTTCGAACTCTTATCTGGCTAGAATTCTTTGGCTTTAAAACACCGGGATATTTTGGGACCCCCCCCCCACCACCACCACCCCCCTTCTCAGTGTGCAAACCAAGGATTCAACCATAGTAAAAAGTTTCTTGTTTTCTCTTTGCGAAATGTAAAGATTTTTGTTATATAGGTTGATTAACTAAAAAGTAAGATTAATATTTCATTTTGGGGAGGAAATAAGCAAAACATAATTTACTAGAATGGCTCATTTATCAAACTCAGACCTGGCTGAATTCTATATTCTGCATGTCATATTAAAATTGGACACAGAGTGTCTCTATATGGGTATGTAATAACACACAAAGGTCTGGAGCACAAAGGAATTCAATATCAGCGAAGGAACGAGACGAAGTACTGTATATGTTTGAAAGTGAAATGTCAATAAGATTTAATTCTGTGTATTTAATCGGTTTATTTGGGATGTGAGTGCAGGAAGAAACCTATTTTAGGCATCATCACAAATAACTATTGCTTATACCAGGCAGCAAATTTTGTTCCATCTTCTTCAAATGTGTGATAAATCCATTTCACACAGTATCATCAGCATACA